CTTGGAGTTGCTTCTTTAATTCCTGTAGTTCTGCTGGGGCCATTCAATAAGGGGCTTTAGATATAGGTGTTGTTCCTGGTGCTAGTTCAATACTAAACTCAACCTCTCTTTCTGGTGGCAAACCTGGTAAGTCTTCCGGAAACACATCTAGAAATTCTCGAACTACCGGCACTTTCTGAATTTCTGACTGTAGAACATCACCACTCTGAACTACATGAGCAATGTATCCAGAACACCCATTTCTTAACATCTTTCTCGCCTTTACACTACTAATTAACATACTCAACTGATGGCCCTCTCCAAAACTAAATTTATCTCTACTATCGAGATTAAATCTCGCTTTCTTCTTTCGACAATCAATTTCTACTGCATACCTCCCTAGGAAATCCATGCCCAATATCACATCAAAGTCGGGCATATCAAAAACTATCAAGTCAACTGCTAACTCTCGACCTTGGATCACTACAGACTCTCCTAATAACATCTCTTGAGCCAACACACTCACCCCATCAGGTAATTCTATCTTAATAGGTTGACTCACTCTAATAGGTTTCAATCCTAATCTCTCAATCATCCCATGAGAAATAAAAGAATGGGTAGCCCCAAAATCAATTAAAGCATATAAGGAAACAGCATGAAATAACAACTGACTAGTTATAGCTGATGGACTGGCCTCGACTTCACCTTGTGCCACTATAAAAACTCTAGCATTAGTACCTCTAGAAGTCTGAGCCACAGGTGGAAGAGGAACTGGTGGAAGGGGAGCTTTACAATCCCTCATCAGATGCCCTGGCTGTCAGCACCTATAACAAACATTTCTATCCCTCAAACACTCTCCTGTATGGTTCCTCCTGCATTTAGCGCAAGGGGGGAACCCTTCTGTCCTGGGCTGCTTGTTCTACCAGTCTCTCCTGTTCCTCTTGGGTTGAAACTTCTTCTTGGCCCTTACATCTCTGTTTCTTGTAACATCTACTCTCTCCCTCTGTAAGGTAGTGGAAGGTTCACTAGGTACTGCTAGAGATAACCTTTCTGCCAAATATTTGTTTACATAAATCTCTGCCCTTAAAGCCCTTGCTAACGCTTCACTGTAGGTATGAGGGGGCTCGAATCCTGTCATAACATCTCGGGCAATATCTGATCTCAACCCTTGTACAAACTTATCTCTCCTTAGCTCCGGTGTATACACTATCCCGGGTGCAAAACGAGCAAGGAAGTTAAATCTTACTGAATATTCTTTCACAGTACTAGTCCCCTGCCTCAGATGAATAAACTCTTGGACTTTCTCATGTACTCGATCTTCTATTCGATACTCAGCCTCAAACAATCTTCTGAATTCTTCCCAGGTCATTGCGGCCATATCATGAGTCTCCTCCATTAGTTCCCACCAAATTCGGGAATCTCCCTTGAATAAGAAACTGGCATATCTAATCCTTTCTCTATCATCCATAGGAAACAGTGCCACCGTCCGCTCTACCGACTTAAACCACTCCTCTGCCTCTAGCGGGTCCCTAGTACCCCTAAATGCTGGCGGCTGGTGCTGGTTTGCAAGGCCCTGAATCGGATCAACCCGAGGCTGTATTGTCTGAGGTACCGGCCTTTCTCGCTCTTGTCTTGTGGGTGGTACTCTACTAGGGATCTCGGTTCTCTCCTGAACAACTCTCCCTTGACTCTCCGCTAAAACCTGCTGTATAATGGCTCGAATCCTCATCTCATCAAGGGTAGGGGGAGTCGGTTCTAGTGGGTTGGAGGATTCTCCTTCATTCATCACACTCTTACCCTTCCTCCTGGTACTACGCCTCATCTACAAAACAACCACACTTGATCAACTTAAAGAAACACTTAACGTAAGGAAAGAATTAACTTACACAGTCGGCTCTCAGACATCGTAGCGACAAGAATGGTACACTGTCAAACCCAAAATCTCGGCTCTGATACCAAAAATGTAATAGCTGCGTTCTACTCAAATATTCATAAAACATGTTCATAATAAAATACATATAAAATAGCATAAAAAGATTGGGCCCAATTTTTTTTTTTTTCTTTTATTTATTAAACATATACATTCTTAATACAAAAAGTTGTATCATGTACAAAAGCATCAAAACAAGGTGGACAGTGTAATCATTTCCCTTCGCCCGCCGATGTCCATCCGACTGTATCCGATTGTATCCTCACCTAGATCCTGCAAAAACATAGAAAAACAACGGGGTGAGCACAACTAATGCTCAGTAAGTAAATCCTCTACTCATCTATCCCCGTAACTCTCTCTCTTTAATTCTTTCCTCACGATTCTCATTTACTCTCTATTTATACTTCCCTCTCTACTTTCTCTCTCTCATAACTCTTTTCTACTAACTCTCTTTAGTAGTCACGACCTCATCTTACCAGAGGCACAGCCGGGACTCGCTCCCACTCTACGTGACTTTTACTCTTTCTATCCGATCGGACTCGGTTATGCATGGATTTGGAACCCTTGGCCATGTGAGTGTATAATCTCTCTCTCGGGTACTCGGGTATAGCCCTCATCCGCATGCACTCTCACGGGCTACACCACTTCTCTCTCTTATACTCATGCCGCTCTCTCAATGCGGCGTACATGTGGGAAACTCTACCCATTACTCACAGGTTCCCCATCGCACAACCTACTCTATTCTCTTTTCTCTTAACTCCTAAAAATAACTTATAATCAAATTCTCTACTATGTCTCAAGCTACTACTTGAGTGTATAAACAAATGTGTAAAGAAAGCTCATACTCACTAATGCACTTATGAAATGCCAAATGTAAGATTTCCTCAAAACCATCATTCTGCACAGGTCACACTAAGAAGGCCATAACTTGCGTTATACACTTCGGATTCCTATGGTTTTGGTCTCGTTTTAAAGCTTAGAAACAGGAATACAACTTTTATGTTTTGGTCTCAGCCCAGTTCAAGCCGTAAGATGCCCAAATATCACTTAGAAAGTCACGGCTGTGACAGGGCAGATTTCAGTTAGGCTTTTCATCAAATAACTCATGTGCATACCAAAGCTCCACTTATCTATAACTCTACTCTTCTCTTTAATCATCCAAAATGGGAGGAAATCTCCCTCATACAATCATAATTCCTGCCAAGGAAAAACACTCCCAAAAATATTCATACACAACTCCTCCAACTTCAACTCAATTTCACTCTCTCATCACACATCAAAAACACTTCTCATAATTTAAGTATGTCTAACAACTATGACTAAGCACACATTTCATCTCAATTTTTCAGTAAGTATAACATATATACATAATTAAAATAAATCTCTACTCATTTACTTTCTTGAACCTCAACTTGATTGGATTTACTTACCTTGTGAAGGAATAGCTTCTCTAACACTTTTCATTTCCTTTGGTAGCTTGATTTCTCTCTACAACTTTAAACAGCAACAACATAAGACTTTAACCAAAACATACTAAAACTCTCATCTAAAGCAAGAATCCTTACCTTAGGATGCTTTAGATTAAAAATCTACTAAAAAAGTCCTTAGAAATCTTGGAAGATTGGATGGAAAATTGAGAGAAGTTAGAGAATGGTTATGGCGGTGGAAATGGGTGAAATAAAGATTTTCTCTACACTTAATCCTTTTTATCTCATATAATATCCATCATTTCCCATTTTGCCCTTGCTCTTCCTTAGAAATTCTATCCATATCCTTTGATTCTTTGCAAATACACCCTTATTACCAACACATTCTCTACTTAATTTTCTTACATTTTACTCCCCACTATTCCTACTAATTAGGGGTAAAAAGGTCATTTTTACCCTAATGAAGAATTCTCTAGAAAACTTAAGAAACTTTTTGTTAAGCTCTTCGCCGCGGCGAAGAACATTCCGTCGCCCCAGCGAAACACGGCAGAACCTACCCGTGGGTGCAGCACCTCATCGCCGCGGCGAAGACTCTCTTTCGCCCCGGCGAAGATTGGATTTCTAAAATTCGCCAAATCTCAACCAAAAACCAAGGCAAACACTTAACCAATTCGACATATCATGACAACAACTAAACTCAATTAAAACCAAACCACTAAATATTTAAGCAAGACAACAAATCTTCAGTAAGTACCTTAAGTGGGGCGTTACATGGATAAACATTTGTTAGTCCCTTGTTGGCTGATTTGGCACTATATTATTGAGTAAGAAATCCTTCATTATATAATATTCTTTCTTGCGTGTATGAATCTAACCTTTTGACATTTTGTTTCATTGTACTCTGAATTTCTTAGAGTATTATTTCTTTTAAGGTTCAAGGTTCATTGCCATTTTATGCCAAAACCTCACTATATCAAACATAGACTTGATGGCTCTTGGAACATGGTTTCTTTGCTGATGCTGGTGCGTGGCGTCGGTGCTTGAAGCTTGGTGTTTCACAAGCTATTCTCGAGTGTGTTCCCGGGGTGAAGAAGATCCCAGGAGTTGCTACACGTTAAGGATTCAGAGTGTGGTGCTAACTGTAAAGTTGAACAAGGAGTTCTTTTTACTATAAATTAGATCAACTTTGAACATTATCTTGTAATGTGTTTTTGACTTAGTGGATTGCTTCGATCTAGACAAGGTCCCATGGTTGTAGGCTAAAAGTGAATTCAACCGAACCATGTATATGGTTGTGTTCTTTATTTTTCACACTTATGTTTGATGTGTTCAAATTGGATTTATATAATCTACTTAGTAAATATTTCGTTGCACTTTAAAATGGGTACTTAAACACCAAAGTGAGTTGACCAACTCCAACAGTCTTCATCTGCTTGGTCAATTCTGAAACTTGCATTGCTAATTCAATGTTAGTATTCACTTCATACATTCCTCTAGATCTACCTCTAACACTTTTTGCCGTGAATTGGCTCCAAGCATCTCATATAGCTCAACGTCTCTTGTGTAGTCTTCTCTCCCAAAGCACCACCTGCAGCATTATCAACTATGGCTTGACAAGCATGTGTTAGTCCATCATAGAATAATTGATTCAACAACTCTAAAGGATATCTATGATGGGGACACTGAACTAAAAGCAATTTAAAACGTTCCCAAACTTCATGGAATGGTTCACCTTCAATTTGTGAAAAAAGTAGCAATCTTACCTCTAAATTCTGATGTTTTGGCATGGGAATAAAATTTACCTATGAATTTATTGTAGATTGCATCCCATGTGGTAAGTGAAGCTGGGGCCAAAGACATGTACAATGTCTTTGCTGCATCCTTCAGCGTGTATGGAAAACACCTCATTCGTAGTTGATCTTTTGTCAAACTCTGCAGAGGAAAAGTCTGAACAGTAGAATAAAAATCACAAATAAAAATTAAAGGATCCTCTGAAGCTACTCCATGAAAAGATGGAAGCATTTGAAAGTGAATATGTTTAAGCTCAGAATTTCTTGCTGCATCATTCAGGATTATTCACGATAGTGACATTCTTATGGTAGGATGTGCGGACTCCTTTAGGGGTCAAGGTAACACTCAGCCATCTTTTCTTCAATCTCTGAACTTGATTCTGATGATTATTTAGAAATTTCTAGTATCTTCCTCTTTCTGCCAATTAAATCCACTCTATTCATGTGTGGAAATAATTCTTCTTCTAATGATCGATGACCTTGCATTCACTATCTAAAAACACAAAAGACAACAAAAACAAAAAGGTAACCTAGACAAAAATAAAGCAAAAGTTAAATAACAAAAATTAAAGCACACGTTATAAGAGAAAACTAAGTAACTTAAATCAAATCCCCGGCAACGGTGCTAAAAACTTGATGAACAATTTTTCGACCTCGCGAGTGCACGAATCGCTATCATAGTCTACTGTGCAAAAGCAAGGGTCAACCCCACAGAGATTTGTAAGCACTCAATTAATCCTAATATACTATGCCTTAATTAAAAAAATAAAGTAAACAAAATTCTAAACAAAAGAAATTAAACTAATTACTAAGGAAGCAAAATAAATTCTTAACCAACCGAATTAAATAACACAATTAAAAATTAATTGAAAACAAATGACGAAAAACCTAGGTATCCGATTTCACCATAACAATATGATTCTCTACTAATAACTAATTTATTGTCGTCTCAATCCAATTCCTAGGGTTCTGTCTTCCATCAACTTGATATTACTATTTGATGTTCGGGTTTAACCAAGTATTCTTAACCATTAAACTCACTAGGATGTTTAGTAAAGCCTAACAATAAAGAACCCATTAAGAAGAACAATTACTCAAAATATCAACCAAATTGTATCTAGCCCGATGTTTGCCTCAACACAATCCAATCATTCAAAGAGCTATTCAAAGTTTGCATATGATGTTTACCGTACCTTGTCTCAAACAATCAATTGTTTTGTATATTTCAAAGTTAGGATATGATGTTACCATACTTATTTCATACAAAACATCAAGATCGAAAACTAGAAATGTATTGAATCAATAGAACAATAAAATTAATCAAAGCATAAAACCTTCATGTTAGGTTACATCGGATCCCTAGAAAAGTATTTAGTTACACATGGTCATAAGGAAATCAAACCTCCAACCCTTCAAAAACTTGAAGTACAAGAGAAAAAGATGAAACCCTAGGTAGATCTCTTCTCTTTATCTCCAATTCTCTCCAAGCTAAAGTCTCTTCTCCTTGCTTCTCTCAAAGTTGAAGTCTCTCTAAAAAAATACTTAAAGACATCCTTTTATAGTGCTAGGGTTGTGGGAAAGTAATGGGGAAAATCCTATACAAAATAGGAGAATAAAATTCAGATTAATTTACGTAGAGTCCTTGTAGAATTAGGATTCCTATGCTGACCCTCTGGTACTAAAACTAGAATATCTTTCTCTAGAAAACTCAGAATATCAAATCGTAAAATTCTACATAAACTAGACTTCAAAATGTATAAAAAATATGTGGAACAGTGCCTAGTTCATGCTAAAGAATTTATGGTAGCTTCGTGAAATTTCTATTTTCTATTTGTTTCTCCTTTACAGTTGCTGTTGGAAAATTGTGTGCTGAAAGACTTCCACTTTTTAGCATGAAAACGTTTGAATCTGAAAAATCCATAAAAATTTGACTGTAAATATTTTAACCATATTTCCTATGGTCCAAGAATCATCCCAATCTTTAGCTCAAGTTATCTTAGCAACACTAAGGCATGTTCCATAACCCACGTCTGCTTGTCTTCCATGCATTGACGTAACTTTTGGATCAATGTTTAACCATCTTCAAGGTCAAACTGGATCACAACCAAACATAAATTTATAGACCTATCTCTTATATTTCAAACTCCACCATAATCAAGTGAATCGGAGTTGTGTAGCTAAAGTTACACCCATTTTAGTGCAACATGTTCACCCATGTTGCAGCACAAAAATCTTTCGCAACGAACAATCTTCAAATATTTATAACTTCTTCGTTTGAGCTTTGATTCTTGAACCATTTGTTCCTGCATGATTTTGATTCTTTACTCTTTAACGTACATGCTCAAAATCCTAATTTTTCAGCACCTAAATACCTGAAAATTCATAAAACATACCTATGATTCTAGAAAACAAAAGAAGTATCGAAATTAAGTAAAATTAGCAAATCAAACCTAATTTCCACACAACATAGCCTTAAGATGACAAAGTATGAGTGTGCTTTCAAGAACTCATTAGTGATCCTCTAGAAAGGTAGCAATCGTATTGATAATCACTTTCTGGTCAGTCTCACTATAAAAATAGTATCCTCGAGTACCTTTTAGGTACCCCATGAACATACATATCTTTGACCTTACATCCAACTAGCTCTTACTGTCCTTTAGTACATATGCTAGACACCCCCAAACACGGATATGTTGTAAACTAACTTTATGACCTGTCCATAGCTTAGTAGGCGTCTTAGGGATAGATTTAGAAAGGACCAAGTTTAGCAGATATCCCATTGTCTGTAGTGCATATACCCAAAAACTATTGGGTAGCTTGGAATAACTCAACATGGATCTAACCATGTCCATTAGAGTTCTATTCCTTCTCTTTCCAATACCATTCTATTGTGGTGTTCTCGGTGCCGTGAGTTGGGTCAGAATCCCATTGTCCTTAAGGTCGTCACCGAACTCTTAGAGAGGTACTCGCCATCGCGATCTGACCACAACGACTTGATACTTTTACCTAATTGCTTTTTGACCTCAATATGATATTCCTTGAGCTTTTCAAAAGATTTAGATTTATGGTGCATTAGGTAAACATAACTGTATCTAGAGTAACCATCGATGAAAGTGATGAAATAATCATATCCACCTCGTGCTCTCACACTAATTGGTCCACATACATCTTTGTGAATGAGCTCCAAACATTAAGTGGTTTGATGTCCCTTTGCCTTAAATGACCTCTTGGGCATCTTTCCTTCTAGGCAAGACTCACAGGTCAGTAATGGTTTGACCTCTAACTGACTTAGTGGTCCATCCTTAACCATTCTATGAATCCTTTTAATTTTTAATATGCCTTAACCAAAGGTTTCGTAGAAAAGTCTGGTTAGTGTTGGACAATTTAATTCTCTTGTTATTCCTTTCTTGTTCTGTATCATTAATTGATAGCATTTTTGGTTTTATAATGTATAAGTTATTAATCATTTGTCCGGAACAAATAAATAACTTACCTCTTCTAATGATAACAGATTTATCAAAAGAAATAGAATAACCTGAATTAATCAAGCAACTTACTGAAATCAAATTTCTAGTAAAATTTTGTACATAATAACATTCGTCAAAGTAATATTATTCGAGTCATCAATATACAAATACAGTTTGCCAACTGTAGAAGTTGATACAAAATCTCAATTTCCCAGCCTCATGGATAACTTACTCGGACTTAGCTATCTCCGAAGTCGAAGGCCTTGTGAAGAATTAAAAAATTGGTTAGTAGCTCTAGAATCTACAACCCAGTTGTTAATAGAATCCTCCACATAACATGATTCAAGGAAAAGTACATTACCTTTCTCTACCTTCTTTTCTGCAAGGTAGATTGAGCAATTCCTTTTCTAGTGCTCATCTTTCCCATGGTGAAAACACTTCCTTTTGGCTTGCTTTCTTTGTTCATGGGAACCTTCTTGGGTGCTATGTTGGCATTCGATTTCTTCTTTCCTTTCTTGCCCTTCTTTTTGCCTTTCTGAAAGGTATGGGCAGATCACGAAGTATAAGCTTCAACCGGGTGTGCCTCTCCCTGTTTCCCTTTCATAATACCCTCAGCTCACTAAAGGTCGTTCATCAGAGTCACCAAAGTGCACTTTTTATGGTTCTGTTCATAGTCCAACTTGAAATGACTAAAAGAGTGATTCAATGATGTGAAGACCATATCAATATAAGTCTTTGGGTCTATAATAGAACCAAATATCTTTGCCTCATTCAGACAAGCCATTACATTCAACATGAGCTCCTGAGCGGGTTGCGAGGCACCTCGACTCAGACTGATAAATCTTTGGATAGCTTCTCTCCTAGCTGGCCTACCTTGGTCATCGAACATCTTATGGAAGTTCTCTATAATCTCAATAGCATTAGGAACTAGCTGAAAGTGTTTCTACAAAACATCAATCATAAAAGTTATCATCTACGTCCTATGTTAGGATTGTGGATTCAGAAGAGTTAAGAAGGTCAAACAGAGTTCGTCAACCACCGAAGTGGTCTACAGAATATGGGGTCTAGAGAAGTCTCGACTAGTGGAAGAAGAAAGTAGGAATATTTATGGAAGAAGAAAGTAGTAGAATTTATTATTTAGAATGTTTGGTTGTTATTTAGTTAGTAGTTTGGCTATGAAATAAATAAAGTGTAATGGGGGGTTTGTAGTCATTTTATAATTTTTGTTGTTATCCTGTAGGTGTTTGGTTGTTATCCTATAAGGCTTATTGAAGGTCTGGGCTCTTATGAATAAGCATGAAAGGAATTAAATCAATCTCTTTTTCTGTCTCAATATTCTTGGAGGCTTGTTCCCTCATATGGAACAAATTAACTCTAACATTTGGTGCTTTTGTTGAGAGCAATGGTGGAAGGAACTCGTTCAAAAGTTTTAGACGAGTAAGTACATCAACTTATGGTTGCCCAGGTTGCAATGGTGGAGAAGTTGGATTCCTTAGAACAATATTTTAAGGATTTG